AATCGGAATTTTCTGTGAATTAAAACAAACTGTGAACAAGAGAAATTATATGCAATATAATGATGGAGTTGATGATATTAGATAGTTGGAGGCAATCGGCCACAGGAAACCTTGCCTGACCTAGGTTTCGTGCCAGTTGGCACTCACCAGTCGTCAGCAAGGAGTATCTGCAACCAGCTTGAAGGAACTCATGTCCCAACACTCTGAAATTCGAACCCGAGTCACCCAATGAGTACTGCAGTCAGAGACGTTACCACTGAGCTATTTGGACTCGCAATTGACCTCCTGTAGGACTGGTAATGTCTCTGACTGCAGTACTCACTGGGTGACGCAGGTTCGAATCTCAGAAGGGACATGAGTTGCTTCAAGGTTGCAGATACGCCTTGCTGACTGTTAAGTGCCAACTAGCCCGAAACCTAGGTCAGGCGAGGCTTCCTGTGGCTGATTGCCTCCAACTATCTAATATCATCAAATCAATGTGCACCACGATGGCGAGCTACCTAGAATGGTGGGCACATTGCAAACCTGACTAACAATAGAATTCAGTCTGCACCAAACAAAGAAAGGACTAGACACATCACACTAGTTACTGACTAGTGTCCAATCGAAACAATGATAGAGGATTCTAGCAGCCCAAGTTGTTTTTAAACAGGCCGCCTGGAAGTTTAGTGTAAAACCAAGTGCTGACAAATAATAACAATAATAATGGTGTGAAGTAAACTAAGCGAAAAAGGAATAAGAAGGATATGATAAGAGAAATGAAAATATGAAGTGATTGCATCCCTGATGACCTCGTAGTGGGTAGGCCAAGGTAAACAAACAGGATGAATGTACTTTTATGTGCTTATTGATCTCTCCGTATAGCTTCAGCTATGGTTAGGATTTATAACTGAAGATGAAATTATTGAAACTAGTTGTTCTTTCACAATGTTTTCTTATTCTGGGGATGGTAAATTATTGTGATTGGTTGTATCAAGTAAACAAAAAACAAAAGTTCCAACAGAATTATCCTGTCTACATAATACAACATGAATTTATTCTTTTATATACCAAGTTAAGACTGTTTACTGTCACCCACGATGGTATTCTTAAATGTAGTGGACTACATTATGCGGTACTCTGTGTGTTTGGGGAGGGGGGTTCGGGAAGACAGGAATCCGCTGGACCACCGATAAGAAGACTCCAGAAGATCTGGATTTCTCACGTGAATGATTTATGTCTGATGTCACACAAACTCGAAGACTTACAGGCGAAAACAAACGACTTGGGAGAAGAGGTAGACAGGGAAGGTAGGACTTCAAGTGAAGATGGAGAAGACGGAGGTGATGAAGATAACCAACCAGCCAATCGCTATCAACGGAAGAAATTTGAAAGATTTCACTTCCTTCACTTATCCACGAAGCATCGTTTCAATTACAGGCGACAACACGAATGTGGTGGATATCAAAATCAGAGTCGGAAAAGCAAAACAGATCTACGTTACTCTAAAATCTGCCTACAAATCTTCTTCACTTAGCATAAAAAACAAAATTGAGGTTTTCAGCTCCAGTGTTAGGTGTGTTCTTCTACATGGGTTGGAAACTTGCCCTGCTCATCATGGATAGCATTCTCAACAGACTCCTATCAACAGTCGCCCTCACTGGCCCCATAATAAAGATCAGATGGGAGTCTGGTCAGAAGGATTAGTAACAAGAAACTCTGGCAATGAACAAACCAATCGAGAACCTGTTACTCAAGAAATATTCCGAAGAAAATGGAGATGGATCGGACAAGCGTTGAGAAGACCATTGGGTAACATCGCGTGCCAGACAAAATGTCGAGTAGAACCTGAATGGGAAACGACGGGTTGGGCTTGGGTTCGATGTTAACTTGGAGGAGATCCATTTGAGGAAGAGATGAGAGCCTGTGAGTGGTGATAGGCGCAGCTGAAGAAGACTACAGAGAACAGGATGAAATGGGAATGTACTGTTGAAGCCCAATGTTTTACTCGAAACCCAAGGGAATAATAATAGTACTAGCAAAACAAAGCTTTCTTAATAATAAGAATCAAGTTTATAATAAAATCAAAATGAATGGGGAGAAGAGTGAGGAAATGACTCTGTTAGTCATACGTTGAATCTCATGTCGAATGTTTTCTTAGACATTTTCAAGTATTGATTTTGTAGGGAATTTTTCTGTTTGATTGGTTGGAGGATTTCATCGTGAGCTGACATCAGTTAGAGAATTATTGGAAACCACCGGGGAGTACTGGACAACTGTTTCGTCCCTGTTTGGAACTCTTCATCAGCACGCACCCACCGACAGGGTTCGAACCCAGGAACTTCTGGTGTCAAGGCGAGCTAGCTTGTAGACCACTGAGCCACTGGGACCCGACCCAATGGTCAGCGCATTAATTCTAACTTCTGCCAAATCATGACATAGCGCGACCACTTCTCAATGTCTTCTTCGATGAGTTACTGCCTCATCTTCAACCTGCTGCACCCTTACAAACTTATTTTGTACTTTGATTATGCTATTTGCAATCATACTTATAAAATTACCATAACCTTAAACATTGTAATAGTTGTCCTTTGATATATACCTAAACACTTGTGGAAATATGGGTGAAGTGCACGAATTACGTTGCAGATTTCATCCAGATGTAATATTTCAGTACTTTCTGGATAATAAGCTTATTAGAAGGAATGAAACATATCTGTGTGTAGCAGTTATAACTTTACAAGAGATATGCAGCTGCCGTTGATCGAGAGAGAAGGAGAGAGAATGGATACAGGCATTTGCCGTCAATCACAATACAGTCATCTCGGTGAATTTATGTATCGAAATTGATTTGGATTAACACTAAGGATACTTATTAGGAACTGGGAGACATTCTTAGAATATATAAGAGATCGTTACCCTAGATTAACTATTTTCACTATTTACTTTGATTTCTATAAAACAAAATTTTTTAAAATACACGTTTCTACTATGGGTTCATTTGACTGCTTGTGAGGGTCATTTCGATGGTCGTTAGTTTGGGTCGCTATTCCTTGTTATTATTATTATTACTATTATTCCCTTGGGTTCTGAGTGGAACATAGGGCTTCACTAGTGCATCTCCATTTGATCCTGTCCTCTACAGTCCTCTTTAGCTCGCTCCACGATCGCCCATAGGCTCTCGTCTCCTCACACAATCTCCATGTCATCGAGGGACGCCCATCTCATCGTTTAATCACCCGGGGGTGCAGTCGAGATTCTACCTGGTTCACGATGTCACTCAACGATCTCCTCAAAGTGTTTCCTATCCATCTCTGTTTTCTTCGGGATATTTGTAGAGCAGCAGGTTCTTGAGTGGTTCGTTCATTGCCAGAGTTTCTTGTTGCTGATTCCTTCTGACAATTTGATCCTCAATATGGAGCGAAGGTAGCTGTTGGTAAGAGTGTGCAGTAGCCTATTGGAAATGCTTTTCACGACGCTCAGTGAAAGAACTGACTGACTTAATATTGGCGTTGAATATTCGAATCTTGCTTTTTATTCTGAGCGCAGAAGATTTCCAAACTGTGATTTAGATAAAGACAACTGTCTATCCAAGCTTTATGACAATAATAATAATAATAAACAAAATAATTGAGCAAAGAATATCCTTTTCGATAATTTCCTTTTCTGACTCTACAATCATATATATGTTTATATGCATAGAATAGTAGACAATAACAATATTAGTGTTTTCTAAATATTATCGATTTGTTAAGTAAGATCAATTGAATCACCACAGTTCATTGAAGATGCTTAAATTATAATAAGCATAAAAATGTATTGGTGAATAGAATATCAACTAAAATTAGGGAAATTTCTACGAAAAACTGAGGATCATTAGAACCTAGATGGCCAGCGGGGTAAGGACAATGTCTGAACTAGCTCCTTTTGGACACATAAATTAGGTTTCTTAATGTGGAACCCAACAGTCAGCCTCAGCAACATTTAGTAAACGAACTCTTAAGGCGAAGATAAGATTTGTTGGTGTGCGGTAAATGACTTTGAAAGCCACCTCGTTGACATCAATCTTGTGTTCAGTATCCACAAGATGAGATAGGATAGCGCTACGAATAGATTTTGTTTGTCCTTTACTTGACCACTATGCAGGGTGATGTTCGGAAATCCGATGAAAAACACGCCTAGTTGTATGGCCTATGTAATTGACTCCACAGGGGCAGTTAAATTGTGGGTGCAGAACAAAAGATTGATGTCAACCAGGCAGGTCTCAAAGTCATTCACCGTATACCAACAAATCTTAACTGCGCCTTAAGAGTTCTACTACTAGATATTGCTGAGGCTGGCTGTTGGGATCTACATTAAGAAGCCTAATTTATGTGTCCAAAAGAAGCTAGCTCATACATTGTCCTTGGCCATCTAGGTTCGAATGATCCTCAGTTGTTTGTATAAATTTCCTTAATTTTAGTTGATATTCTATTTGCTATTATATTTTTATTATTATTATTATTTAAGAATCTTTAATGAGCTGTGGTAATTCCATTAAGCTTACTTAACAAATCGACATTATTTAGAAAACACCAATGTTGTTATTGACTACTATCCTAGAATATTCTATGTATATAAACATATATATATATATATATAATTGTAGAGCCAGAAGAGAAAATAATCGAAAAGGATATTGTTTGCTCAATTATTTTGTGTTTTATAGATGTCTGAATGAATATTCTTACAACAGTAACAATAATAATAATAATAAGAATAATAGAGTGTGAAGTTCGATAGCTGCTATAGTGACTGTACAACTGGAAGTTCATCTCTGATATTTTCTTTCTAGATAGAGTTTATGCATAAAATTTATCTGTAAATTATAATTACAAGTTAATTAATTAATCTAATGATGCTCAATTGTCAATTTAAAAATAGCTTGATTAATACTCCTTTCTTTTATGCTTTTAATAATATCCTTTTGTATTCTTCTTTCTTTTTAAATTTATGTATTTTGCAAAGCTTTTCTTGGAACAATGTTAAATACTGCTGCTCCACGTGATGGTTATACAATGTACAATGAAGCGATCGCTTCAGTCTACTCATATCCATGGTTTCATTTTATTTATGCACTGGCCGCTTTATACTTGATGACTCAATTAACTAATTGGTATAAGTAAGTTATTTGTTCATGCTTTCATTAATATTCGCATGTTGAATACGATAACTTGAGTTGATTGAATTCAGTCTGCACCAAACAGAGGACTAGACACACATTACACTAGTTACTAACTAGTGTCCAATAAAAGTATCCAATACAGTACTACAGGAGATCAGTGACGAGCCCGAATAGCTCAGTGGTAACGTCTCTGAATGTAGTAAATTGGGTGATGCGGCTTCGAATCTCAGAAGCGACATGAGTTCCTTCAAGGCTGAAGATACGCCTTGATGACTGTTCAGTGCCAACTAACACGAAACCTAGGTTACGCCGGACTTCCTCCCGGTTACCTGCAACCATCTAATATCAACAATGATGAATTGACGAAGTGATTTCAGTCTGAGAACCATTCAAAACCAGGAATGATTCGGTGGTAGAGCTACATATCACAAATTGACAGAAGTTAGAATTCATGGTTACGTCTTAATTGCTAAATAGTCGGAGACCTAGTGTTGTGACTTGAAGGTAGTCCTGGCTTCTATCTCTAGTGGAATGATGGATGCGTACTGCTGAAGATTAACCAAACAAGGGCGAAAGAGAGCTGTTCAGTATTCCCTGATTTCCCAACTAAAGTCAGTTTTGAAATTAATCAAACCTCTGCAGTTTAACGCCTGAAAAAATCAATGATGACTATTTCACATTGTAAAACAGCCGTCAAGATGGGTAGATATCAGCTTTTTTTTCCGTCGGTCAAACTATGAACCACGCTTATTAGTGTGTGAGTTGATAGTGTGGTGAGAGCAGGCTGCTAGCCAATTGGTAGACATTGATCTACGCTGATTAATCTAGGCTGATTCAACAACCAATCACAGCTGACCTAAACGTGGACAAATATGATTCGCAGACAAGTGGCTCGCATTTCCGAAAAATATCGAAAACGAGAAAGCAGAAGACTGCGTTTGTTTGCAAACAACCAATCAGAAGACCGCCTTCTTTCTGCGGGCAGAAGCCTATTAATGTACGTAAAATACATATAAATACCTGTTGGTTTTCGTAATAAAACTGATCTGTTGCCCGCCTTGTCTTCTGTTGTTACATTTGGTGTCGCTGCCTCCGGAAAAATGAAGATCCCGTGGCCAGCTGCGTTTGAGGAGGGAGACATACGGAGCTTCCTACGTGATTTCGAAGCCGTAGCTGAGCTGGTGGGTGTCAAGGAGCAGGCGCCGAAGGCAGTTGTTCTGGGGACGCTGTTGAGAGGCCGAGCGAAGGCGGCATATGACAGCGTAGACCGGTCAAACGGCACAGTGGCTTGGAAGAGATTGGTTGAAAATTTGGTGTCGGAGTTCGACAGCGCAACAGAAAGACAGCTAGCGATGCAGCAGTTCCGATCAACGAGGCTGGGACCTGATGGAGACCCGTTAGTATTGGCGGTGAAATTGACGAATTTACTTCGACGGGCGCTTCCCACGTTGGATAAAGAATCAGAAGAGCAGTTACTATCTTCCCAATTCATCGAAAGTGTACCAGACCACATTTCTCAGCAGTTAAAACTGGTTAACGCAACGCAACCGATGGATATTAGTGAGCTAGCGAAGGTGACCAGACAGCTGCTGAGCACGACTGTAGCCGCTATAGAACAGCCGAAACCAAATGAATATGAGCAGCAAATTGAAGCATTGCAGCGGGAAGTGGCGGCGTTAAAGTTGGGTAATAGAAAAAACCGATGTTTTGAATGCAGCAAGCCAGGACACTGGAGAAGAGACTGCCCAGAAAGACAGAAAAGGAAAAATTTCAGACGGTATAATGCTTGTTCTTTCTTTCGTATGAACCTAGACTTAGTGGGGGCGATTGAGAAAGGGGCTATGTATTCGAAGTTGCGAGTAAATGAACGAGAAGTAGTATGCTTAGTAGACACAGGAGCGGCCGTGTCGTTGATAGATAAGAATTTATGTAAGAGCGTTAGTCCGTGTTCGTTGACAGTACAAACAGTAGGCGGGCATGTGTTGCGTATAACGGGTAGGTCGAACTGTACGATTGTTGTTGGAGGGTGCGAGGTGACGTTTCCTTTCATTGTTGTGCCCGATCTACAGCGACCGATATTAGGAGCGGATTTTCTGCGGGAGATTGGTGCAATAATTGACACGCAAGCGAAAGTGGTGGTCACGAAATACGGGCGTATCAAAATGTATGAGACCAGCGAGATAGCAGCGGTGAACCTGTCGACAGTATACAACATGAAAGATTTAATTAAGAAATATGATCATCTGTTCACTGGAGATGGCGATCCATACGGTTATTGCGACAAGGTGAATCATGAAATTCCGTTAACTAATCCAAAAGTAATGTCATTTACATCGCGAAGAATACCATGTCATCTGGAAGGCGAAGTGAAGCGACAAGTGCAAGAGATGTTAAAAGACGATATTATTGAAGAAGCTGATAGCCCGTACAACTCTCCAGTGCTGTTAGTAAAGAAAGCGAATGGGAAGTATAGATTCTGTGTTGACTTTCGACAATTAAACAGTATGACAGAGTTAAAACCGTGTGTCATGCCAACAGTGGTGGAAACTTTAGACCGCCTACAAGGCGCAAATGTGTTTTCCGTTTTCGATCTTCGCTCAGGGTACTGGCAGATACGGATAAAACCAGGTGATAGAGATAAGACGGCATTCAGCGTGGGCCAGACACAATATCGATTTAAACGCATGCCGTTTGGACTAGCAGGTGCACCGTTTACCTTCAGAAGACTGATGACGCTATTACTTAGGAACTTGAAAAACGTGGAAGTGTATGGTGATGATCTCGTGATATACAGTCAAAACGAAAACGATCATGTGAAGCATGTAGAAGCCGTGCTGCGACGCATCGAAGAGTTTGGACTGCGCATTAACAAAACCAAGTCCCAGATAGCCAGAAAGAATGTTACCCTGTTAGGACATAAAGTAGGAAATGGTGGGATTAAACCACTACCGGAGAAAATTTTGACGATTAAAACAGTTCCAGCCCCGAATTCAAAGAGGAAATTGAGGCAATTCTTGGGTAGAGCGGCGTTTTATAGTCGATTCGTGAAGAACTACAATGAGATAGCAGCCCCTCTATACAGGCTACTAGGTGAGCCGAAGTTTGTTTGGTCGGAAGAATCGCAGAGGACATTTGACAGAATTAAACACCTGTTCGACCACCAACAAATGACGCTAAAACTACCTGTACCTGGAAGACAGTTTACAGTGTGCACAGATGCCAGTGACTACGCCATAGGTGCGGTCCTAAGACAAGGTGATGGAATCGTTGAGTATGCCAGTCGGGTTTTAACACTCACAGAGAGAAAGTATTCAACGATAGAGAAAGAATGTTTAGCAATGGTATGGGCAGTCGACAAATGGCGACCTTATTTACTCGGCCGGAGGTTCCACATCGAAACTGATCATAAGCCGCTACAATTTTTGAAGACAGCGAGAGACCCACGGGGGAAATTGTCACGGTGGATGTTGCGTCTTCAGGAGTACGATTTTACGATCTCACACGTTCCTGGAAGTGAAAATGTCTTGGCAGATTTGTTATCGAGACCAGAAGACGAGCCTGAGTTGCCCGAGGTCGCTTACGGAGTGCATGCTGTAGAACAAGACCCACTAAAACTTGCACGCAAGCAAAGGTTGGATGATACGCTGAATACAGTGATACAGGTGATAACCAACGGGATAGAAGTAGATCAAGCTACGGCGAGTAAGGAGCTAACCACACTACTCAGACAGAGAGATCGACTAAGAGTGAATGCCTACGAGACTCTGACCTGGCGAGAGAACGACAAAAGCTGGCTGGCTATCATACCTCAGTCCTCGCGCCACGACATGATAGAAGAATGTCACCAGCTAGCACATACAGGCGTGGCCAGAACAACTGACCTCCTAAGACAAAGCATGTACTGGCCAGGTATGAGAGAAGACGTAGCAAGATACGTACTTGGATGTCCACGGTGCCAGCTAATGAAAGGCGACCGGTGCATACGACCACCGCTTCAGTCGATTCCAGTTACGGCGATAGGTGACTTGTGGTCCGTAGATGTCATGGGTCCATTTCCTCAGACATCTAATGGTAATCAGTACCTCCTGGTGATGACGGAACACGTGACACGATGGGTAGACGCCGTAGCGATCCCAGATCAACGTGCAAAGACCGTGACAGACGCAGTAGTTAAACACATCGTTGCAGACCATGGCGTACCAAAGACGATACTGACAGACCAAGGTCCCTGTTTCGAGAGTGAAGAATTTACTTCCCGTTTGCAACAGCTGGGCATCAAGAGGATCAGAACGACCCCATATCATCCACAGACGAATGGCCTAACGGAGAGAAACAACCGTACACTGAAGGAGTGGCTGGCCTCGAAGAGCGGTAACTGGGAAACGGAGCTTCCACTGATTTTACTGACGCATCGTGCCACCACCCAGGGAACAACGAAAAAGTCACACTTTCAACTGATGTATGGTAGAAAACCACGATTACCGATACACAACGAGACCTGGCCCCTTCACCAAAAGTGGAGTACGACGAAATTAAAAGCAGAGCGGAAAGAGGCCGTCAAGAATGTAATACGGAAGCAGCGGAGTGATGTCGCGAAGTCTCAGATGAAAGAAAAGACGCGGTGCATCACCTTTGCAGTCGGGGACCAAGTGAAGTGTAGAGACAGGAGATATACAGTTGGAGGCGGGCCAGGTTCACGGAAACTCCTGCCAAAGTGGGAAGGACCATACACAATCACAAAAAGACGGGGTCAAGTATATACCGTCCGAAGAGGTGACAAACAGAAACGAGTTAATGCCAGTCAGCTCCAACGATGGGTACAGTGGGACAAGCCGATCAGCAAAAATCCGCAACTAGAGGATGTAGCACCAAGAAGGTCGGAACGCCTGCGTACGAAGCTATTTGACGGGGGGACGAGTGTGGTGAGAGCAAGCTGCTAGCCAATTGGTAGACATTGATCTACGCTGATTGGGTGAAAGTAATCTAGGCTGATTCAACAACCAATCACAGCTGACCTAAACGTGGACAAATATGATTCGCAGACAAGTGGCTCGCATTTCCGAAAAATATCGAAAACGAGAAAGCAGAAGACTGCGTTTGTTTGCAAACAACCAATCAGAAGACCGCCTTCTTTCTGCGGGCAGAAGCCTATTAATGTACGTAAAATACATATAAATACCTGTTGGTTTTCGTAATAAAACTGATCTGTTGCCCGCCTTGTCTTCTGTTGTTACAATAGTACTACCCAGTGGACTAGGCTGAATTAGGTAAAGCTGGGACAATTATTGAAAATTCACTGCTTAAGGTAATCAGCCATGTATCGTATGGTTGCCTGTCTTTGGGTCACAATAGTGTTTTCAACCGCTGGTGTTTTGTAGGGTAGTAGTAGTATAAAACCTCTTAGTTGCTAAACAATTCAAATGTATCAGATTGTGTAGATTATTATTATTTGGACACATTGATTCAAATGTATTTAAAATATCTCGTCAATCGTTTTGGATTATTGGTAAATCGGACGAGAATCACTTAGGGATAGTGGGTACGTTTCGAAAGACTAGCTTGACTAATAAACAGTGGGAAACCCAGTGTTCAGTTCAGTTCTGTGGCTGAGGCATTCAACTCCCAACCAACTAGTCCCGGGTTCGAATCCCAGTCCACTTACTTCAGCCTGGGAGCAGCTAGGTAGAGTGTAACCACCAGCCGTAACACAATAAATGTGACTCGTATAGTCGTGCAAATGGAAAATCTGTTCCAAGTTTTCTTCAGTTCGAATAGTAACTTGTGTTACAGTAAAGTTTCCTGATAAGGGACAGATGGATGTTTTTGTGATTTTAGAAGCACATAGACAGTTGATACTTTCCGTTAAATGAAACCTTAGAAATTGATGTACAGTTGGTAAATAAGAAACAAGGTAGCAGGTAACGTAGTCCAAGTGTCTAAGAATCTACACAAAGACTATCACACGTTCAGCGTATATGGTCATATCAGAATTTGTGACGTTGCATTCGTACCTAGACAAATTTACTTCGGCGATGCAAAGTCACAAAGTAAGATGGATTGTGTTTCTGTTTTACTCAATTTTTCCTTTGAAATAAGGAGGTTACACAACTGAAATACTGGAAGTTTGACAAATATATCTATATATTCTGTCCAAACAACACGATTTCCCACTCAGTTCTTCATCTTATTTTGTAGGTGTCTTCAATTTCACTACTTTCCACCTGTCTTTTCTTATATGCATAGATTGTGTTTATTAGTTCGAATGCCTATCGCCTCAGCTGTGTGCGCGCAGTAGACGAATGCAAAGTCTATTGGAAAGATTCAGTGGGATACGATGAATTACCGTGAAAACTCTCGTTTTCTCCACCACATGACCACTATCAACTAAATGTGAAAAAATGGAGCTACGGATTGTTTTTATCTGTCCTTTGCCAAACCACGATGGGAGATGTTCACTAGCATGTTGACTAAGCTGTCTAGTAGTACAAGAATTAATCATTCCACAACTCATTGAACCATTATTAATATACCCGTTCGACCTCTATGTCACGATAAGAGTTATCAGTTACTTATGCTTGTTACGGGAATGTCATTGGTAAAAGGTCAGACAGCAGTGTGGGTTTATAAAAAGCCAACGCAGTCTAATAGATATATTTTTAAACTTTAATTCATCGTATTCATCATTATGTGTAAAGGCAGACTTAGTTACGTGTCTAACAAGTTGAGCAATAACTCTAACTAGTACATCAGAAAACCTTAATAATGAAATAAAACAGATAGAAGAAGCGTCTGATGCTAAACAACGAAATATCCCATGAAATTCGCTGAGAAGATCAAGAAAGCTCACAAGAAAGGGAAAAACAGCAGCAAAACTACTGACTATAACATAAATCAGAAAGAATTTTTGAGGTATTTACACTTTTACCATGTAAAAAAGAGAAATCTGAAATCCTACATAGGATTTTTGAATAGCGAAGGAATTTGACCGGTATTTAAACCTACAAACTGACTCAGGGACAAGCTCTGTGTGGGCTAAAGGGGACCCTATCTACCCAATTAAACAAAATAACCTGATTTACAAAAGACCTTGGAATAATTACTATGAAGTCAAATAGAAAATTCAGACCAGTAGATCGGCGATAGTCAGAATATCGGAACATGAGGATTTAGTTAAGTATGGAATTGATTGACTCCACAAAGATGCATAGTGTAGAGAGATACTCAGCAACCGCGATACATTCATACGACAGGGTGGGATAAAGAGTTACAGTTCTGAAAAGTAATATATTGGTAATTGGGGGAGGGAGACGATAGGAAATACCTTGATATAATTATGAACAGTAAACTGTGCTCGAAATGCCATCAGTAAATAATATTGTATTACTGTGTGCTTCTATCAAACGTATGTATGCTATGATGGAAGCATTCGAGTAGTCTCTCTCTCGCCTTCACTTCAAATTGCTGGTAATTGTCTTATGAACTAACTAACACCTAGTAAGTGGCATATTATTTTATTTCAGCAATTCCATATGATACATTTTCATGCATAAATTTGAAAAATTTTTATTCATTTCACAAAATCTGCCAGTTTTTGATGTGTCAAGCATTCTGAATATTCAAGTATTGGTTTGTAGGGATTTGATTGATTGGGTACAGCATTTCATCATGAGCTGACATCGGTTAGAGAACCGTTGGGGAACCTGCAGGGAGTACTGGACATGTGTTTCGTACTAGTTTTGGGACTCCTAAGCAGTGTGCAACCACCCTCAGGGTTCGAGCCCAGGACCTTCTGATTACAAGGCGAGTTGGCTCGTAGAACATTAAGCCACTGGGACCCGATCCAATGGCCAGTTCATGAATTCCAATTTCTGCCAATTCATGACATAGCGCAGGTGCAGGAGGTCGGGTGTGAGGACAAATACTTTTTGAAGACATTGGCTAGCGGTCGCTCTATGTCGTGAATTTGCAGAAGTTGGGATTCATGGACTGTCCATTGTATCGGGTCCCAGTGGCTTAATGGCCTACGACCTCGCCTTGTAATCAAAAGGTCCTGGGTTCAAACCCTGTCGGTGACAGCATACTCATGAAGAGTCCCAAAGTGGGACGAAACAGCTGTCCAGTACTCCCTGGTGGTTTCCAATGGTTCTCTAACTGATGTCAGCTCATGATGAAATCCTGTAACCATTCTGAATACCTTTACTAGTTAACTATGTATCAATATCTATATTTTTAAAAACTGGGAAGAGTGTATAACGAATGTCCTCATCATACTGAGTTATTAACACTGTTTTCCTATTCTCCTTTGTTTTTTTCCTCTTCTTTCATCCCTTCAAACTATACAGTCCACAGATTTCACGTGTAGATACTTTATCAGAATCATGGGCAAATATGTGGATGAAATTGGCATCGTGTTGGTTAGCTTTAATATTATATGCATGGACTATAGCCTGTCCAAGATTGTGTATTGGTCGAAAACTTGGTGCAGCACCATTTACACCACGTACACCACGAGGGAAAATATCACCAAATGTATCGGTTGTTTAAATGCTTCACTGTTCAATAATCAACTTATCAGTTCAAAAGTAGAAATTCTCTTCTTCGTCTTCGGGATAAGAGTATAACTGCTCTGAAAAGAATGATCTTCTGTGATACATAAATATATCCACATAACTTTATACCAATGAGAAGTTCTTTCTGACAACCTCACACCCAAATAAGATAAACGGCCATCACATATTGTAAACTTAATTTTTACAATATTTTATTAAAACTTTATATATATATATATTTCTAGTAGGAGAAAACAATCCCCACCTGGTTGGCATATTTATTATTACATTAATAAAACAAATTGTGTATATCATTGTGAAAAAGTAAATGTTTCAGTTCTTTTTATATAGGTCATGAAATATACATTTATTGATTAACTTGACTTTAACTCTTCCCTCCCCCCCCACACATGCACCTCCCACTCAAGTAGACTTTTGTTTTCACCAGTAATCCTTTCACTGGCGTCAGTTCTTTCGGGGTGAATCTTAGTCAGTATGTTTTTATTTTTAGTTTTTCAAGCGTTTTATTTCATCTCACTCTACACAAGTGACTTGCCTTGGGAAGTTGCATCAGCCAGCGTCAACGGGTTGATTGCTGAGGGAATCTCAGCATGGATACAGAAGGCTCGTTTAGCATATGCCAACCAATCTACGCCATCTCTGGCTTAGTAGACGTGATATCTGGCTGGCTGTCGACCAAAGGGAGTATGTAATGCTCGCCAGTTCGCTCTGTCCTCTTCCTTTATGGCTGTGAGACATTGCCATTGGAAGTGAAAGACATGAAAAGCCTCGCTACCCAGCTGCCTTTATCATAGATGTCTGCGGTCTACCTCCCATGTAAGGTGGTATAATAGGGTGAACAATATTGAGGTTAGGCTTCGGTCGAGTGCTAGGAAGGTGGGAGGCGAAATCAGTTGACGAGGTCGTGAAATTACACCGATTGAGATGGTTAGGACATGTGTTACACATGCCTAGCGTAGTCTAGCCATCGCCTTCGTCGACGGGCGATGTTAACTGACATAGGGTTGATCAGGTTGGAAAAGAGCTGGTGGGTGGTGGTCAAACGAAAACGTAGCTTCATCAGTGAATTAAATCCACAACAGTTAGTTTAAGGTGGCCACTTAGTAAGGTGTAGACTTTCTGACTGGTTGACGTCCTCGGGAATTTAAAAGCCAATTATGGCTGGAGACAATTGTTGTCAATGAAGGCGCAGATGCATCGACTCCCTATGATATATAATATCCAATAAAATTCTATTGATATTCCGTATTAATATTCTTGTTGCCTCACATTTCTGTTTATTATCTCTGTTTTCAGTCTTTCTCTACTCACTTCGTTTGCTTTGTGTGCTACATGGAGGCAGTATGACACCTTGAAATGCTGCACATCTGTGCGAAGTTTCACGCTGAAACCAGTCAGTCAGTTAATGACTTGCCTACATTCTATACTGTAACGGATTCAGCCTCATTTAATGCGGTCACTATGTGAGTGGTGCACTGTATCATGCGATTATATGAAGCAGACAGTTATTGCAACATCATTTACAGGTGCCTGCATGTTTGTCTAAAGGTGAAAGTTACATTTCATCACGCGTAATCATAGTGATTCCTATTAGATGATGGAAAAACTAAAGCGCTTGGTTTAACAAGCAGAAATAAGCTTCTAGTGAAAACTCATTGTCTATATGAATATATGTTATAACTTGATGTAGGATGTTTTTCAGCGAGGTATATAAGTAGCACGTAAGGCGGAAGAGACAGAAATAGGGTCGATAAAGAGGTAGAATTCCACTTTCGGTTAAGTAAAGTGGAGATATGTGTGATAATTTAGTAGAAAAGTAGTCAGTATTTTCCATTTATACCATCAATGATGACTGTTTACTATTTTTAATATAATTTGGAGTTCAGATTGATGTAGGTGTAATTAGTGTTTAGGAGATGATGGATTTTGGCGGTAACTCAAGATACACTTCAGATAAACGCAAGTATTTAACCTCCAGTAATGCCCAAAGTACATATTTCATTGAGACCAGTGAAAAATCAAAACAATTAATCGTTTAAAATACGCTTATCTACCTAGGATTTGTGCGTGAATGACTGAGCGTAAGAGGACAACGTACTAAATGGCGTTAATGCCTGATCCCACACCTTCAACCTAACCAGTTGGCTGAAACAGTAAAAGTCACCATCCAATGTTTAATAATGAAAACTGTAGGCTAATAATTTTGGGGAAGTTATTTATCACTACATACATCAGTGCCTACATCTTCATACTCCAGCATTTAAAAAATTGCGATCCGCCCAACTAGTTCTCCTTGACGTTGTTTCGGAGACTAGAGAAAAGGATTCATTGCTAACTGATAGGGTTCGATTTACCGTAGATCTGAAGGAAATATAAAATAGTCATTTTCTTTCGTGACAATAATTGTAATTCTTCCACTTATTATATTATTATTTGTAAGCTTTTACATGACCAACTCAAACAAACTGTCTTGAACCTTTTTGCGTGCATTTCGGATTGTGAGGGCGATTGTTACTTCCCGGCTGCCCACACCGTGGAAGTTGGTTGCGTGACCGCAGAGCCCAGGGGACAACTGCTTGAGGCCGGTCACACGCGGCCTGTTTTTCTTTGTTCTTTTTTATTTGATGTGTCTCAGTAGCATATGTATCACTTCTGCCCTGTGACCCGGCAGCAGGAAGCGCGGTCGTTGTTAATCCGGGCCCCGACCGATCCGGCATGATACTTTGTGATTTACTTTGAGTCATAGCATTGGGTTGGGTAACTGCTTTTAGTCTAACCGCTATCCAAACAACCTTTCTGGCATGGTAGGACCTCAAGCGACATAAGTCTCAGCCAGTATAGCTTGTTAGGTCATTGCGGTGTTCAAGCCCGACCACCACGTCAAGGTAGCAGCTTTCGGTCCGGTCCATCTTGAACCAACAGAATTTGTGTCACTGTGGACTTTGTCATATGCCTATAGTGAATATTTTCAAATGAACATTCTATGGTTTGATCACACAGGTGAATTTTCACACCATGATACACAGAAATTGTTTGGTTGTCGGCATAATAAACTAAAGATAGCGAATCACATGAACTGCTTCGTGTATAATATTTTCCGTCTTAGACTATGTTGAACAGTTTTTCTTCCCTGAGGTGTACGTCTACACTTTATCATATATTTGACCAGATTTTGAGTTCAATAACCAGCATTGAATATGAGTGCCTGTAGTGTTGATGTCTCCTTTTTCCAACTCAATCATACTAAGTAGGTTGTGTGGCTGTTATCGCAAAGGGAACTGAGAAACTTACTGGTATTCTCACCATTGTTCTTATATATGCGGTAAGGAATTCAGTTCGTCTTTTCTGGACACGAGTGGAGGAAATCTGCAATGAGGATACAGTTATTGAGGAGATTGAACAGTGAAAATGGAACATTATCAAGAATGGTTGGCCATCAATGTTCATCAAAACCAACAGTGGAGAATTCAAGAGAGTCTAATGTGAATAAAACTTTATATTACTGGCTGTGTGATTAAAAATTGTGTTAGAAGATGAGTAATAAGTAGTCCGTACCGTGTTTCCTCGAAGCACAGTTATGTTGGTGGCAGTGTAACAGTACTGTTGATTTATGTGTTAGATACTAATACTGATCACCAATTATTTCTAGCCATCATAGCCCACAAAAATGAAGACAGACTGGTCTATAGCGGCTTAGAAACAGCCCTTTCTATCAAAATATTTATCCAAATTACCGACCAAATGCTGGTATTATTGTAGAAGACTAATTCTGGTTTAAAACGTCCATTTTTTGAAAGCATGGCAGTGAGCATGTGAAAGGGGGGGGTACCTAGTCAAACACACAGAAGGACACTCATCATCCAATAGATAAACAATCTTATTACACAAAAACGCATCATATACAAATATTGTGCACCTTGAAAGGTTATACCAATAAATAACCAATTATTTTAGTTGCTTAAGGTCGAATTTTTAGGTTGAATACTCAGCCTCGGCCCACTGGTTTAAATTGTCTAAACCAGCTTCAGTTGGTCTAAGTCTGTTTTAGCTAGTTCTGGCCAATTTAAATTGATTTTAACCGCTTTCTATCGACGGCATACACCAAACATTTAAAAATGCCAGCCTGGATGTTTCAAATCACATTGCATAAGTAATTTATTCTCGGCTTCAAATGACTATCATCTCTCTTGCAATCTAATTTTGCTTTCGTAGACTTTTAGTAAGCTTGTGTAAGGCATTTTGCAGGCAATGGTTTAATGGAGATATAAAGTTCTCTAGCTTGACTTAACAAATCTACAACAGACTACACACCTATACTCTGTATTACTGATATGTCGGTTCTATTGTATTTAGAATGCGGAAAGGGTGACGGTGATAAGCGCGTAAAACGTTTGAAAGTCTTCTTCTCAGACACATTGGGATAAAGTGCACTGACCTTCAAAATTTTCAACCTTAAATTCACAAATATATTTACTCTCATACCTACTGTACTTAAAGTCGGTGATTATTCCTAAGGTACGCTTTCAGAGACTATCAAAACTTTAGTGTTTTTCAGAGAATTATCTGTACTTAAACTATGTTTGTGGCACTTCGAATTGTCATCACCTATAAATCCTGCGGGGATTATAGAAACAGCACAGTAGTTTACAAATTCACCCATTTATGAGAGGGACATTTCTACAAATTTGAAATTTGCGAAATAGGGCAGGAATGTCATACGGTTTCTCAGATTGGAAAAAACCTGGTTTGAAATTCGTCTGAATTTGGCTGCTTCTGAGACCGTATGAGATTAAAACCGGGAGATAGTGACACTTATTACCTGTGTTTAGGAAATGAATGAAGTGGTAGATTACGCAAAATACTCTCTATTCAGACGCAAGTTTCCATCCTTCAACTTGTAGTTCACGTTCTAATGTTCAACTAACTGACAATCTTAGCCACTAACATTATTATTATTTACAATATATATATATA